GGCCACACGGCCGGAGTGCCTTGGGTGCTCTCAGAGTGAGGGCCTGTGCGTGGCCACAGAGCCCGCTGCTGCGCGGGTCTGCACTTGGTTACCAACACTTGGGTTTCGTGAGAGTTTCTGCTAAGAGCGGAGTCCAGCCGTGGCTGTGAGCAGTTGGACTGAAAAGCATTCATTCCTCCAGCACTGACTGTGCATGTTGTTTGGCTCACTTTAAAAGTGACACTTTACAATCCTTACCCTGCTTCTACCAAGACATCCTTAGATAGGTTTTTGGGGTCTGCAACTTGCAGTATTCTTCATATCATAATTTATTGTATACTATGAGCTTAAAAGTTCTGCTGCAAAAACAAGATTCCTGTCCTGAGCAGCCATCTGTCTCTGTCCTACCAGTAGTTACCCACATCTGTGAATTAACATCTGTAAAATCAAGGTTAGGCCCTAAATCACATTGCAGAACAAGTGGTGAACCTAAAAGGAGAACCAAGAGATTGCAGCAAACTGCATCTGAAACACTGGTGAAGAATTAAGAAGCTTTCTAAGATGTCTTGTAATGGCACATCTGGATTTAGTCTTCAGGTAAGGTGTGCACACCTGGGCTTCTACAAACTTTGCCCTGGGCCCTCTGATTCTCCTGTCTGGTCCATTCATGGTCAGCAGTTGATCTCAAATTTTGGCAGAAACATAATAATATAAAGTAGATAACTCTTGAATAGCTACTGCCTTTAGCTATGTGCAGTTTTGACTAACTTCATGCTTCATTAACAGCCCTGTCAAAGTCAACAGGTTTTGCATACCTGCAAAGTTACTCATGAAAACTTAGGGCAGAAGAAAAGAACAGTGTAAGAATAAGAGACTATGGTGTCCCACAACTCAAAGTTATATTAAATTTGAGGTGTGTAGCTTCTTGTTAATATTATATATGTTTTCTCTATAATTTTTCATTATCATAATTCATAATCAACTAGTGATGGCCTTTATTTTGACCCCCAGCCTCAAAATTTTGCAGATTCCCATCACAAAAAACTTTAAATGGAGAAGCTCAGCTTTTGTTAATCTTGTGTTATTTATTATTATACTTTGTTTTTTCCCACTCAGTCAGTTATAGACAGTCTCAAACTATGCGTCGATTTTTAAAGTCAGGCATGGCTCAAGAGTTTGTTCATCTTTCTTGTCATAGGTCCAGTGAGGAAAAAGAACATAAACTAGTTACAATTCCAGCATTTTTCATATTCATCTTCATCTACAGCCTACAATAACCAAAACTGAGTAGGCCTGTTGTCAGATAATCTATCCCATAGCTTCAAAAGCTGTTTTGATAACCACCATAGGATTCTATTGTGCCATAGAATTCTATTATGACAGAAGAGTTGATCTGAACTCTGAAAGCAACAGTCCTGTGGAGCAGAAAGTGTGAGGTTTGGATGTTGGTAGTTTTTTGGCACCAGAATGAAAATTAGAGCTGCCAAATGCTTGGGGGAAAACAAAACAGAAAAAAGAAAACAAAAAGCTACTTATTTTGTAATAATTCATCATTGTAGTGAGGCTGAAAAAAAGGAGATATGTCAGTCTCAGAAGAGCTCAGTTCCCAGGTATGCCTAGTAACTAACCAGATGGCTAGTTAACAAAGCACCAGCTAATATTTCATTTTAACATTCTTCACAGCAAAATATTAGACAAGAATGACACATTCCCATAAGGATTTTGGGAAAACCCACAAATTCATGAACAGGTTCAACAGGAATTTTCTCCTTTGAAAAAGATACTCTCATGTCCTGTACTACACAGAAGTAATTGACTGTTTTGCAGAAAGGGGCAAGGTGCAATTTTTTTTGAATGATTTTGAATGATTTATTGAGCATTTTATCAATTAATGGCAGTGCAAAACAGCAGTTGCCCACGTAAGAAATTGGTGTTAGTGTGTTCAAGTGAATATGAATTTGTAGTTTGTCTTTGGCTGATCATAATCAGAAATTTGTTCCTTGGAATCATCCATGTAATAATTGTTTATATCTGAACATCAGGAACTTAATATCTCCATTCAGCCAAACTCTATTTGCATTATTGTCTATTTTTTTGAAAGCCATATCAGAGTTAGTTAATTTTATAGTATGAAAATCAAATTTAGAGCTTCAGATGTTTGCAAAAGGGAAGTAGGAGAGCAAACATCTTGTAACGGGATGGAACATGTTTGTGACAGGATTGAGTCTAAAATGCGTTCCTGCCCACCATTAAAACTGGCATTTTTCCAAGTATTTCAGGAGGGAAGTAAGGATGTATCAGAGATGATATTGCATTTTCTTCTATTTATGGGGTATCCTTGAATTGTGAGACTTTTATATCTAAGACTTTGAAAAACACTTTTGTTTACTTGCTATTTTTAGTTCATTGGCATTAACATCTTCTCTAATACTCAGGTGGTGAATTCCATATCAGAATGGTTTCTATTAAAAAATTATGAGCCAGATCTTAAGCTGCTGCAAATGAATATAGTACTAATTAGCATTAGTAGAGTCATACAGAGTTACAGCAGGTTTCCTGAAACAGTTTCAAAAGTAATTTCAAAAAAAAAGGGCAATGGAGTAATTCAGAGTTTTTCATATTCATACTATTTTTCACTCATATTTTATAAACACTTACTATTATATGACCTATATTTAGTCAAACAATGTTGCTTCAAAATGAAATACTCCTTTCTGGGATGAATTGTTACAGTTGAAAAGATGCAGCATCCTATAATGGGGCCTAATAAAAGTTGTCATTGTGACAAGGTTAACTCTGAACAGGGGAGGAAATATGGTAGCAGGCTCTTACCAGAAGGAAAATTCCTCGTGGTTTGGTTTGTGGGGGTTTTTGCAAGTTTTTTTTCAAAGGCTTTTAGAAAGCATTTGCACTTTTGAGGGGAGAAAAAAAAAAGAGCCAAATATCACTGTAGCACAAGTTGTTGGAGTTTCCGATGCTTATATTTCCTCTGCAAGATATTTTTAAAGTGATACATTTTTGGTTTTTTGGGTTTTTGTTTTTTTGCATTTGTGGCACAGGAACTCTTTTCTCAGTAATATATGTGTGTGCTACATGCACTTTGCTAACATTCACTGCCACTCTCCGACCTCAGAAGAGCTCTGCCTTACCTCCAGTACTGCCAAAATGAGCAAAACCAACAGGTTGTACCCAGTCTGGTACTCTTGGATCTTGCATAACAGGGTGCATTTATATCAGCTAGGTATGAAACATGCTCACTCGTGCTGTGACAGATCCTGATGAAGGTGATCGTACAATCTCCACCCTGGCCAGTGTGGCCACAGTCCAGCCCACAGTGAAAGGCAGAGCTTCCAGCCACCTCTGTGCTCCCGGGATTAGCAGTGGGAGCAGCTGATTTTCTGCAGCCCTGATTTGCTCATGGTTCCCACAGCCCTTCTGGCACCTGACAAACAGAGGAGTGAAAGGGTGCCCTGAGGCAGGTGGGAGACAGCAGCATCATTTCCTTTGCCACAGAGGAGCCTTTTGACTCAGGGGTAATACCTAGGTAGGCACCTCCCAGGAACATTAGATATTTTGTATGTCCAGAGCATTGTAAACTCAGTAAAACTGACTGAGGTACCAACCAGTCTCTAAAGATGTTGTAGGGTACAAGGGGTTCCCAGCACAAAGTAGTGGAGAGCCAGTCCTGATATGAAAAAGAAAGTTGGCTGAATCCTAGTCTAAGAGACTGACTGCTGATATTTAGGTTACTTAATTGATCTTTAACCTTAAATTTTGTTGGTATTAGAGAGGTTTTTTTGGTTTGGGGGGTTTTTTTTTCCCTCCCAAAAGAAAAAGGGAAAGGAATTTTAAAACCCTAAAAAAAGGGTTCAAAAAAAAAAAAAAAGGCGATGAAAAACTACTTGTGCTTTTCTATGAACTCTTGTTCTGGAAGGTCAAAATAGACTAAAATAAATCAGATAGAGTATGTCTTGGCTTTGACAGCCAAAGTCCTTTGGAAGTTTAATTTCACTGGCAGGTGTTGTATTAAGAAACAGCAGAGAAGCTTCTTACTACAGGGGATAGATTGATTTTGCAGCAAGGAGTGGGCGTACACACTGAGACAGGGCAAATGCCACTGTAAGCAATGGGTTGGCATTAAACATCTGCAGAATTGGGTTCTCAGTGACCCAGCTAAATCTTACTACAGTTGTTTTTCTTATTAAGTCTGCACTCTGGCATAGCAACAGAGCAGCAGCACTGGCACTTGTTGAGTACAACATTTTATATCCTACTGCCTGAAAGAGCATGGTTTTAGTGGTGTACAGATGTTTAGGGTAAGATATGGAAAGAGAGCAAATTGCTTCAAACGCCATCCACTGATGGAATCTCATTCAGAGGAGTAGTTAGAACTAACAAATCTCATCAGGAATTGCTTAATTCCATTTTTTCCTGGTGACAGCATGTTCATCATTTGTATGTGTCCATTAGCTTCTAGAGGTTTTAGCAGAATTGAAATTGAAGCATGTTTTAAAGATCCTGCCCAGCAGTTCATACAGGCTAATGTCAGCTTGTTTGCATTGCTGCAAAACTTTAGCAACTGGTCTAGATTTTAAGAAATGATAACATTAGCAGTGTCAGGGGAAGTACTAGTTGCTGATTTGTCCATGTTCATGCATATTTTTTTTTAATATGCCATTTCCTCGCTCTTTCTCTTGCTGTGAATGCCATTGTAGTTGTTACAGCTGGAACTACCTGTCCTTTTTTTTTCACATGGCTTTTAAAGCATTTTCACCTCTGGGAAGATCGTCTCAGGAAGAAATAGTTTTCCCTTGCTCAAACAACTGGTATTTAGCAAGAACTTCCTGCTGGCATTCATCCCTGAGTTAATCTGGTTAGAATTACAGCTGGTTGAGAGTTTTTGACACTGTTTTTCATGGGAAAATGCTGATTTGTCAAAACTGAGACAATTTGTGGAAATGTACCAGTTTCCATTAAACTTTCATCAGGAAACATTTCTTTTTTTTTTTTTTTTTTTTTTTTTGTTTCTTCCCTAGTCCACAGTGGAATTTCTGATATAGAAAGATAAAAAAATAATCATTTATCAATAATTAGACTAAACACTGGTCAATGGAAGAAAGGTGGGATTAAGTGCATGGCCTGACTCACAAAATGCACGTTTGAAACTGCAGCTCCCCCTATCCACTCTCCCCAGGATATTGGAGGGCTGTCACTCTCACTGGGCATGCATATATAGACATCCCCATATCTAACACCTCAAATGTGTATATGAGAATGTATGAAATATTGAAGCACTTTGTGGGACAGGAAAAACATTCCCCTGACAGCGTTTTTCAGGTTGACCTGTAGCCTTCTGCTCATTTGCTCCTTGTTGGGTGGGAATGGAAGTGCTCTGAATGGCTTGAGTCTTCTAGTCTTTGTTTCATATTGTAATAACAAGCTGTATTCAGAAATCTGTGTCATGCAAAGGAACCACAATTTTGATTATTAACAGTCCTGTTAGTCTGATTCCAGGATTCCAATTCTCTGCTCACCCAGAGCAGTGTTTTGGCAAAAATTGGACTGAAATTAATAGATTTCGGGAGCAGATAGAGGAG